TGTGTGTGTGTGTGTGTGTGTGTCTTAGTGCTGTGGCTGCATCATTCTGTTTATTTATAGACTGCAGAGCAGCACATGTGTAGCTGAGGTTTTCTTTTCACTGAGGGGAAACAAAGCCATCTGCTTCAGTTAGTTTTTTCAGACCTGGTTTAAGTGGAAATGGAGAATGAAATTCTGGAGACAAACTGATAATAATTCTGATTGGCCCTTCTCTTACAGTCAATTCAATATATGTATCATATGCTTTTTATATTGTTTTAATCAACATGCTTCATAAAACTTTGAATAATACATGTCTGCACTTTTCCCTGTGAAATCTCAGGTGGTGATACTGACCTGGTGGGCTGTTTTCAGGGATTCCTTCTACTACATCCTGTCTGTCTTGGCTTTGATTGCAGTAAGCTCACCACATGCATTATTTAAAATGGACACCAACTGGCACTTTCTTCTTTGAATGTCATTTAATTTAATCTAATAGAAGTGTTTACCATTTTTCAGTTCATCTACGATGGGAAGATAGTTTGGTAAGTTTTGCTCTTCAGCCCCAACTACTAACATTTGCATAATCTAAAATATTTTGTAGTTTTTTGTTTATTTATTCCTCAACCTGTACTTTTGTTTTCATCAGGTGGGAGAGTTTGGTGCTGGTAGTCATGTATGCTGGATACATCCTCGTCATGAAGTGAGTTCTGCACGTTCATATTCTGACACTGGTTCTCTGCAAGTTGAGAAACACCGTCATCATAAGAAGCTGAGGGGGGAAATGCTCACACATTAACACCTGTGAGCTGCTGAGGATGGCCAACGAGAGGAGGGTGGGTTTCCAGCTGGAGGGGAGTGTCTCAATCCCGTCCCCTGTCCAGATGTTTGCAGCAGATTCAACTCAGGAGCACTTCTGGTGAAACATGTTGCTGCCCCACTCAATTAAGATGCAGCAAAGTATGATTTCTATGATGCATTTTTTTCCACTTGGACAAATTAGTCCCCTTAAAGGTTCAGTGTGTAGAATTTAGTGACATCTAGTGGTAAAGTTGCATGTTGCAGCTGAACGCCCCTCACTTCACCCTCCCCTAACAAACATGACAGAGAACCTGTGGCAGCCTTCAGTTGTCATAAAACTCAAAAGGTTTAGTTTGTCCAGTTAGGGCTACCAAAGGAGGACCCGCTCCTGATGTAAATATAAAGTATTTAATTATCAAGGGCTCATTCTAAGGTAAAGAAAACCACAATTGGTACAATTTTAGATGAAACACACTATTGAAAACATCACTAAGATTATTTTATATTCAATTTCTGCCAATTGATCCCTTTCACAGATTTTTTCCTCATCAAGATCCTGGGATATTGGCGAAAATGCTGAAAAATATCCCATCATTACACTTTCAATGAAATCAGTCTGGTCCCCTGTCTTTTTACTGTATCTGTCAACATTGAGCTTGTTGGCGCAACCACAGACTCCTATTACATCATGTTGTGTCTTTACAGTCCAGACTGTCCAGCTGGTAATCTGTGTTACACTCAGCAGCAGTCTGCTCTCTTGCTGCCATAAGAGTTTAATCTTTCTCCCTCTGCAGTGGCTAAGAGCACCGGCTTAACCGGATCACTCCACTCCTTTCTCATTTGGAGGAAAAAAAAAAAGTGCCCACTGTAGGAAACGCTGTTATGTCTCCCCTGTCCCAAAATATCCGCTAACACTTTTGGGTCGTTCAAAATGGAGCAGAGTGGGTTCAATACAACACAAGCTCTGCTCTGAGGTGACCTTCATGGCTCGGCTGTGTTTCCAAGCGTAAGGCTCACATGCTGCAAAATGTGAGGACACGAAATGACAACCTAATTACAGAAATTCTAATACTTTTGAAAATTAGTGGAAAATAAGATTAGTTAAGTTTAACTGGGCCCAAAATTGACAAAATGTACTAAGTAAAACAGTAGTTTCTTTCTTTATCTCCAACTTGCAAGTCTTTTTTTTTAATTACTTAAAATTTTAAAGAATACTTTGATTTACTGTCTAATTTTTTACAAGCAAAAATATGTAATATTGTATGGACAATTAAGATTACTATTAGAATCAGGTGAATTAGAAGTTGTGTTAGCCAGGTAGCTAGCTGCATAATTTGGTGTTAGCTATGGTTTTGAACTTTGTGATTATTATTTGAGATCTCATTGAATCTGGTCCATAGTTTGGCCTATATACTTTACAATCTATACAAAATTGCTGTAAATGTTGGTGTTATCCAGGGTTCCAGCTGAAAATCCTGGTTTTGAATTCTTTTCTCTTTTCACAGTGAAGGCAAATGATCAAGCTTTATTCGATTTCACACTCTTGACGCTTCCTTTTCTTTAATATTATTGTGTTTTCATTTAACCTGTTTGCTGTGTTTTGGCCTACATACAAAAATACACAAAAATATAACGATTTAAATTCTTTAACCTGTAGAACCTGAGTTCAGCTCAACACATTATGATGAAAGGCCGCAGCACAGTGTTTTTAATGTGATACTCTCTAATGGTCTCATGCTGATGAAAGTCTTGTGATTGGTTCTTTCAACATTTCTGATTTTCTCTCCCTTAATGCAGAAAAAGCACATTTCAGCCATTTTTTTCTTTCGTTTAATGCTGATGCTGGTTTTCAGAAAGTAGGCCACCTTAGCTGTAAATTCATTATAATAGCAGTATGATGTGGAAAAACTTAATCTTAACTAATTTATACATGGTATATTTCAAACGAGCGGGAGCCTTTTCATCTGGAGCTCAAACACTATTTTCTGAATCTTGACACAAAAAAATCTTGTTTGTCTTTTTGGGACTCTCGTCTGAACTATTTCAGCGTCTCTAATGTTGGGATTATATTCCATCTGTTCACTAGATTCAACTCAAGCATGCAGAGGTTTTTCATGGGGACAAAGAAGAAGAACGTGGCCAATGGTAACGCTGCAGCCAGCAGTGAGATGGAGGACGGTAATACTAGTTATGACTATGTTTGGGATGACAACCCGTCATTGCCTTTACTCTCAACAGGTAAGGTTAACCAGACAGGCCGGGTACCCAAGACTGTTCTGTGCCAGAGAATCAATCAGACTGTTGAACTCAATGGGATGATTTGGCTTTGTTTCTCTGGAAGTCTGTTTCCTTTCTACAAGACTGTGACTTCACTCTCTGCCTCTTTCTGCTGAACTAACTTAAGTAACTTCAGCTCACTGCATTCTGCTGAAATCTACCTGAAGCAATAGTTCATCTTTTTTTAGGAAATAAGCTAATTTGCTTCATTGCTGACCAGAGGAGACGGTTGCTACCGATCACCTTTGATTGATACTATTACATTTTGTATTTTGTATGAATTTATTAACAAGATTGATGAACTTAAGAGGGACTTTGCTGTCTTTAATATCATGTTTGGCTTAAATCTCCTTGTTGCCACTTCTTCTTTTCCAGCCCTTTGACTTTTCCAAAACTTATTCTCTGACATTAACCTAACTCTTCCCACTTTGGCTGCATTAGTGTTAACATGCCTGTCTGTTTAGCCTTACTAAAACTTATCTTGCTTTATTGTCAACAGTGTTGTGCTGCTGTCTGTGCCAGTTCTTTCTGCTCGCATACTACTTTATCTCTGCGGGTCTCTGGGGCGTAGACCCGCTCACTCCTGAAGTGGTAATGAATTTCACAAGAGGAAAAGTTGATGCCAGCTCTGTTTACACAGTTAATTTATGTGCATTCTTGCATGCATAATAACTCAAATTAAAGCAGAGTTCAAATAATAAGCGTATGTAGAACTTTTTATAACCCATACACTGTATGTTATTGCAGAGAGCAAATAAGGAGTTATGGAATGCTAATAAAACCTTTTTACATTATGCATTCTTGTCAGAACACAGATTATCTAAAGTGGAGGTTTGCATGGTAGTCAAGGTTGTGAGGTCAAGGATGCCAGAGGTCACATCTTCAGTCTCTCAGGTTCTGAAATCAATCAGTCTGACCATAAATATTCACAACAGGCAGGGAGACTTCAAAGCTGCACTGGGCAATTTGAGAAAGTTATTTGAAGTTCAGTAGCAAAAAATAAATCTTGTGAACTGAAGGGGTGAAAGATTCAACTCTCCTGAGTCCTGGGGTGACAGAGGTTACAGTCATTTCCTCCATGACGTGAGCATAGAGTGAAGTGGAGGACAGCAGGACTCTTAATCTGCCACTCGGTCAAGACTAGCTGGCTTTTTGAACTGGGCCTGTTATGACTGAATCTGTTCAAACCTAAAAAAGATGAAGGCCTTTCTTCAGATCTGCAAGTCACCTTCCACATAACTTTATTCACCCGTGCAACCTTCTTCAGGTCTGAAGTAATCTTAAGAATATAATATGCAACAATTCTTCATTTAAATGTTTTGAATTTACTTGATCTATGTTATATATATTGTCAACTTGTGTATTTAGATTATCAGTGAAAACCGTGGATCTCCAAATTCTATTTCTTCTTTTACTTAACTATATAAATTCTTATCTAATAATGCGCCTGGAAATATGTTTTAACAGATGGATAATATAAAATCCTCTTATATGAGATAATGAAATTAAAATGGTCCACACGTACATGATGATCCAGTACAATTAATTTCATGAAATAAACCGCAACCCTCAATCAAACCTCATTACCCAGAATCACTTACTTTGAACACAAGCATCAGGAAGGTACCCACATAAACTGCAGAGGGTCAAATGAAGGATTTGAGTGAAAGGAGAAGTTATTTCCAGAGCCTTGGACAAACCTCCAACCTCCACATCCCTGCGGTTGTTTAAGGGACGTTTTTACTCTCAGGTTTTGATTTGTGTGGATATTGAGCCGTCCACATCCACAACTCGTTGTGATTTAGGGTAATGGGAATATATCTTTACATGAAAAAACATTGCATATTGCAGCTTTAACTCTGATTTAATGACCAAATGTCTCTGATTCAGCAGCCATTAATATTCCTTAATAACTTGGCACAGGGAGCTGTAGCAGCACAGGATAAAAAATGACCTGACAAGTGTTCATAGTGTCGTGTGTCACTTGATGGTTATTCCACTTTAAAAATAAGCTCTGTTTAGTCTCATAAAGTTTTAATCGGCACTTTTGCTAATGGGACATAATTGACTTATTACTTTTTAACCAGCACGGCAAAGCACTTGAACAGGAGGTATCAATTACACTCACTTAAAACATAAAACACAATTGAAATGAATAAAAAACGCAGCTCTGTGCTTGTGTGATTTTCTTCTCGATTGATCATTTGTCACCTTTCATATTTTGAATGTGACCCTGCACCCCTCAGTGAAGCCCACCAAGGCTTACAGCCGGGGATCCGTGGTGATGGTGGACGAGATCATGAACGCCAGCCCTTCAAAGTTCAGGTTTCCAGAGGCTGGGCTCCGTGTCATGGTCACCAGCCATTTTGGACCCAAGACCCGTCTGCGCATGGCCAGTCGCCTCATCATTACAGAGGTACAGCAGGGCGTTGTTGCTCCATAAGTAGCTGACGTAGTATGTACATTTTCTTTTTTTGTATTTACAGCTTGGCTTTTCTGACGTGTTTTTATTAAACCCCAACACAATTGCACTGAACGCAATGTCAATAGATCAGCGATGAAATGAGCAGCGCATCTGCTCATGTGCTCTTTGACTTAGTTTCTTTTTTCTGAAAGCGCCAGAAGTTGGTCCAAGCTGCCAACGGCGTGGAGACACAAGTGATTGACGGGAAGGTCGAAATCGAGAACGGAAACGTGCCAGAGGACAAACCCACCGAGGCGGAGGAAAATGAGACCATCTCACCATTTCATATTCCAAGTATGTGATTCGTGTATTTACTTGATGTGAATTCAAAGTAAAAGCTTGACCTCAGCGGGGAGGATAAAATGTTCCTTGGCATCAGAACACGAGAAGGAATAAAAGTATATGTAATCAGGCCTTGGTCACAACAAAAGGTGGAAATGTTTTTAGCACCATTTCTTCATCTATCCCATTTCAATGAACTTTATCAGAACTGACAGCAGTGACAGAGCGAGAGGTTGTAGGAGTTTGTTGCAAAAATAGAACGGACAAGATTAGCAAGCAAAATAAAGGGAGTGTGTTGGCTCAGGCAAGATGAGACGAGTCAAAGAGCTTCACAGAGGCATCGAAAACATTAATGAGACCTTAATGTATTTAAAAGACAATAAAACCAAAATGGTTACTATACAACATTTTTAATCCCAAAAGCAATTTGGTTTAAGCGACCCAGAAAAAAAAACAAGACCCAGATATGCACCGACAAACATCCACTAAAACACCTTAAGAGACTAAAGATTAAAAGGAAGTTTTAATTGAATTAATTGTAAATGTGCAGCAAACAGTAACTGCATTAGGCCTGATTTAAGTTTCTTTGCTGCACCTGAGTTCAGCTAAAACTGTCAGCTCATTTAAATCTGCTTCATCTTCCTTGTTTTCGATTTGAGGTTGAGTAAATCTGCAAACAGCTCTTTGTAGTCTGGGTTTCTTTGTAGTTTACAAGTAGCTCGGAGAGATGTGTCTCGAGCCTGAGACCTTTTGGTGCTTTGTAGACAAGTAAAATGATTTTTAAAATCTATCCTTTGATGAACAGGACTCAGGTAGCAGCTGTTTGACTGATTGTTGTACTTTATATTTTAATCCTTTGGGACAAATTCAAATGTTTAAGTTTAGTTTGTGTTTAGTTATTCAACTCTAATTGTGGTGCATCCACTTACTGTTTTGCACTTATTCAGAAAATGTAATTGACTGTAGACACGTGGTGATGCTGCCATCTAGAGTTGTGTGTCATCCCCATAATTATTATAGTTAAGAGGTGTTAACATATTCCATAATCTGAGACATGGAGATGTAAAATAGAAATACATCTAGGAATCACTTGCTTGACATGATGGTTTCTCCACTTAATTTAAGGAGAAATTAAATTTAAAGTGTAAAATGAAATGACGAAAGAGATCTGAACAGAAGCAATTGACCATGATCACATCTGTCGACAGTGATTAACGTAAAACTTAATGTTAAAGTGACTCCTGGTTATAACATTTTAAAACCGTATCATCTGAGTGAACGTTTTCCTAACAAACACCTGAGGAGCTAATCTCTTCTGCCGGTGTGTGTTTATGCTGCAGGGGGCATCGGCAGCAAGTTGAAGTGGCTGATCTCATGGCCTCTGCTCCTGTTGCTGTACCTAACCGTGCCAAACTGTGCCAAGCCGCGCTGGGAGAGATTCTTCATGCTCTCCTTCATCCTGTCAACTGTGTGGATCGCAGTCTTCTCCTACTTTATGGTCTGGATGGTGAGTGCAGTCACCTTGGACAGTTTAGAATGAGGCTTTTACAGGGACATATTAGTGTTTGTCTTTATAAAGTGTATTAATGATAGATTTTATTTTTGCTTGAAAATTTTGTGTGAAAATGTCAAAATTAAATGATTTCCAGTTTTCCTTTGAGAGGAAATGAGCTTCTCTTAGTCTAATGTAATTTTGTTCGACTAACAAAGACATCTTTTTACAATATTTATAGACAAAAGATTAATTAATTGAAAAAATTAATAAAAATAAACATTTGGAATATTAATCAGTGATTCAAATAATCTTTAGTTCCAGCTGTAATTTAAAGGGAGAAATCAGGAAAGCCTGACAAAACAACAAAGATGTTCTGTTTAAGGGGCCGTTACACATGAGTATGAATTTAGCTTCTCCTCATTCAAACAGATGATTGTGTTCTCGAGCCCTGACACTGTGTTTCTCTCAGGTGACTGTAATCGGCTACACTCTGGGAATCCCTGATGTCATCATGGGCATCACTTTCCTGGCAGCAGGCACCAGCGTCCCAGACTGCATAGCCAGTCTCATCGTGGCTCGGCAAGGTGCGGCTCTCCCCCTGAAAGATACTCAGACTTCTGTCTTATTACGGTTTATTATGCAGCAGAGAGCCAGAGGAGAAAGTTTGTATGGATTTAATGGGACTAGTCAACCAGGACATTCCCTTTCTTACATGTTTATGATCCCAGGTGTCTAGTTGGGGGAATCATTAAAGTAAGCAATCATAACAAATGCATCTGCTTTGTGGATAGTTTGAGGTGAGAGTGATTTCCGAGGTTTTCCTTTTTCCTCGTGGCTAAGTAGAGAAATATGTCTATAATTGGTCAAACTTGCAGACATCCAGATAAGCCGGAGCCTTTCTTCAAATCTAGTGCAACATATTGTAGTGTACATACAGAGATGCATCCAGAGTGTTTTTGTCACCTGTGTGCATGGGAATAAATTGTAGGAGAGTACAAAGTACTAAGAAGTGCGGGAAAGAACAGAAAGTAGTGCAGAGCTGTTTATAGACGTTACAGCGTAGCCCTGCGTCACTGTCTTCCCACTTGGATAAGGTTAGGGCCCTCGTGAATATCAGAAAGTGCAGAACAACAAAATGTAAAACTTTATTTGATCTGAAATCTTAGAAGATGTGATGGAAATGAAACATTTATTGACGCTTGAGGCGTCAGGGAGAGGAGGGATGAGCGGTACAAGTTAACAGTGTCATTTCTCCCAATTCTGAAGGTTGTCCTCCCTTCCAGGGAGAAATGAAACACCTTCTTAGGGGTTGATACAGTGTTTTATAAGGAAACTCACAGGGATGTAAGTCTGTCCCTAAGTCTGAAGTCTAGATCTCGCTCCTTGGTTGCTATAGCAACAGTCAGCGGGGACAGGATAGTCTAACTCGATCAGTGTTTTCACAGCTAGAAGAGACAAACAGTGGAGTTTTGTCTTTATCTGTAAGTAACTGGTGGAGAAATTGTCTAGTGTTGCCTAATGAAGGAAAAGTTAATTCCGAGCTTCACATTTAACCTGATTTGCTGTGTTGCGTTGCAGGTCTGGGAGACATGGCGGTGTCCAACACAATTGGCAGCAACGTGTTTGATATTCTAGTGGGACTGGGCGTCCCCTGGGCGATACAGACCATGTGTGTAAGCTACGGATCAGTGGTAAGGAGACAATTTGCTTTGCAACAGTCTCACCCTCTTTTATGAGGAGCAATAGAATCCAGAGCGTCCTGATGTCTCACGTTGAGAAATAAGATTAAAAACGTCTGCAGATGAATTGCTGATCTTTTGTCCCGTCTGTGTTGCAGGTGATGATTAACAGTCGGGGGCTGTTGTACTCGGTGGTGCTGCTGCTGGGCTCCGTGGCCCTCACGGTGAGCAATAGTTGATGATGTTTACGTTTCACTGGGGCCGCATGTCGACCGCTTCCAGGAAAACGACCTGTAGTGTACCTTAAAGTAATAACCCACAGTATTTTTATATGAATTATTAACACCCCTGTTTGCCTGCTGTCATCACTAACTCATGCACTGCAATGCAGCAGTGACTGAAGCAGGTTATGTAATTGGTTCATAAAAATGTAAGAATCTCTATCGTAAGCACTTTGTGTCTTTTTGCTTTTCCTGTGAGAAATCATAATTTTTCTTGAACAGAAAAAAACATTCAGGGCGAAGGTAGTTCTGCTGCATTCAATGATAAATGACACATGAGACCTAACAGAAAATAAACCAGAATGACCCCACATGAAATTCATAGTACTGCTCAGGAAGTCACACACGTTTGATCCCTTCTCAGTGTAACATGAAATAAACATCTGTCCCCCCCATAGTGAGTAGAAAACATCACTTTCTTTGCACAATGTATTTTTTTTGTTTTATCAGTGCAGGAATTTCAGTTGTTGGCCGACACCGATACTGGGGACATCTTGGGAATTTTTTTTATTTTTATATTGTCACTCATCCCTCAGATGTCATTATCAAACCATTATGAAAAATAAGTGTTATAAAAACTTTTTTATAGTTTAAATGTATTCAACTAAGCATTTTATCACTTATTAAAACTTGAACTTCCCAAAATGATTCAATCTGAATAATATGAGTCCCTACACAAACCACTGATGTGTGTGTGTGTGTGCAGGTTCTGGGGATCCATGTAAACAAGTGGAGGCTGGACATGAAGCTGGGTATCTACGTCCTGGTGCTGTACGCTGTTTTCCTCTGCTTCTCCATCTTGATCGAGTACAACGTCTTCACCTTCGTCAACCTGCCCATGTGCATAGAGGATTAGAGCACAGCAGCATGTCGTGGATACCAAAACCTCAATGCTCCCATAGCAAACCCAAACTATTTTTCTTTATTTCAATAATACTGGACCTATCTGCAGACTTCCCCACCCCCCGTGCTCTCCTTGTAATCCTTTTAGTCCCAAATATGAATCCAATTTCCTCCAGAGGGAGTTCACTGTAACAGAGGACTCCATTCTACGTCTCTTCTTATTTCTCCTCTGGTCACAGTGCAGCTCCTTAATGTCCATTATTTCAGGCGTTGCCTGTCTTGAGTTCCTCTGTGCACCTGTTAACTTTCTTCCCATCTAGCATGCCTTTAGATGTCGGGGACCTCCAGAATCATAAGTGCCCCTGTTGATTGTTGGTGTGTGTTTTCATTGTTCACATTGTAGATTTCCACACACCATTTTCAAAGCTTTTCCACAAACCAAACCCGAGTCTGTGAAGGAAAAGAAAACAACCAAAATCCCCAAGTAGAGTGAAGTCTCCTTGAAGTAATTCCTAAAAGATGAACCAAGTTACCCCAGCACCCAAAGAAAAACGCACCCTCCTTTTTTATCTCTCGCCCCCCCCCCCCTCGGAGGAGGGTCTTGTCCCCGGCAGCTCCCCTCCTCCAGCCTGGACCTGACTCCCCCGGCATGGCCTTTGGCATCAGGGAGCAGATACTGTTCGTGCTTCACTCACCCGGCGTATTTCTTCTCAACCCTGCTTGATCAAATTGGCTTTCTTTCCTCTAAAAAAGACATTGTCGGGAATGTTTGTGTGGAGATAAGCCACAGTCTGGATCAGTTGACTGTGAGGGTGTTATGCATATGCAGCACTGCACAATGTAAACTTGTAAACACTTTTTTTTGTTTGTTTTTGTATTTATTTTTTCAAAACAAGGTTTTGTCTTGTATGAAATATGGAGAGCTCGTTGCAAATATAGGACATTGCCTGTTTTTCACAGAAACAAATTGCACATGGAAATGCTTTTCTTGCTTTGTGCTGTAAGGAGATTCGACCACTCTGAGGGGCTTTCAGGCCGGTGGCGTGATTTTCATTCAGTGATGGGTTGTTACACTTTTCCCTCTGCACAACTGAACAAAAAAAAACTGTCTCCAGATACGTGGGATGCATCAGATTTCTGTCCTCAAATGGAGACTTGTTCTCGTCTTGAGACAGCAGCAGCATGGAGATAGTTTTTAAAAAAACAAATGCAAAGAAACCAGGCAGTTCTCAGTACTGTCTGTTATAACACCCTTTGGCCAGTAGGGGGTGCTGCAGCCTCTCTACCCAGGGCGGGGGTGCAAACCACAGCTGTCGGTTATCAGGGAAACTTGGAAATGGACACAACTCCAAGAGGTGGCGATGGTGATGGTCTCTTGATTTTGAGTTACATGTAGATATTGCACTTTAACAGCCATCCTCTCATTCTGAATCAACTAGTGCTTCCTCCTGTGCGTGTGTATTTTCAGTGTATATGTCTGTGCGAATGAGAAAGAGTGTGTGTGTGTGTGTGTGTGTGTGTTTGTGTGTATGCGTGTGTTTTCTCACACCGAGCTCCTGACCCTGAAGCAGACTGGAACCTCGTCGACACCATGAGCACACCTGCCTGTGTCTGCAGTGCATGCTGGGACACCGAAACGCAGCTCCTCCACAGCACAGCGAAAGGCTGAGGGCCTCTGGGCGTCTCCATGGAAACCGCCCGACCCACTTTACAAAAATCGGCAGCTACGCGCTACACTGCAATCCAGACATTTTGACATCATGCAAAAAGGCCTGCGACGAGTCCACCAGTGAGGTGCAGAGACTAAAACTAAAGCGTGTGGGCCGTGTTTAGGTGATTTAAAAAATATTCCTCTGCCGCGCTGTCGGCAGCAGGCACTCTTGTATATGCAATCTCAATGTAAAGAATCTGTGACCGAAGGCCCCTGCAAGGTTGCCATACAAAGACGGGAGACCCCGTGGAGATGTGACGTCAGTTTGTCTCGTGCTACTTGATGTGTGAGCTCACAGGTGTGTGTGTGTGTGTGTGTGTGTGGAACCGAGCCAACAGTATGGACCCCTCTCTGCCCCCATGGCATTGTGGGAAGTCTGATTTCACCTCCTACGCACACACACTCTTCTTTTCTTTCGTCTCCTCTCGCACAAGGGCATTAACTTTCCGCCAACACTAGCTGAAGGAGCAGCGGGGAGAACACAGATGGATGATTTTCTTTTTTCCTCTGTCGCCCTTGGGACTGTCACTTTTCAGTGGACCCGGGTGAGAGCAGACTTTAAGGAATTTTTAAAAAGTTGGACCCCTTAAACTGCTCCTCTACCTGGGTTCAAATAGCTGTGTTACTGGATGGAGGTGACCACACAGGGCCCACAGACTCCTCCGCACACCCACCTGTACGCCCTCCTTCCTCACCCACTGGGTCCTCTGTACAAACGGGACCCATGTTTTTCACTCTTTTCATGGGGAAGGCACATTTTTACTGTAATTTAGTTGATTCAGAATGGGCAGTGTTGAGATTTGTTGTGTTATTTTTGGCGTTGCTCTGTGTGGTCATGTCCCGGTTGCCAGGTTTGAGCGGTAACACCACAGCAGGGGAACACTGCTCCTCTTTTTGTCCTCATCCTGACACAGCATATGTTTTCATTGGTCGTCTGACTCACATCTTTGTTAGTTTGTTTTCTTCTGCAGAGCGTAGGGGGATTGAAATTTAAAAAAAATAAAAAATCAGATGCCATACTTGTCGTAGCTCTGCATAAATTCAGATTGTATGGAAATCATGTGTAGAAAATAAGCGCACACTTAAGAACACGCGTTAGAAATGGTGATTGAACACGAGAGAGGACCGGTGTGTATTTCTTGATCGAATGCGACCTGATGCACTGTGAGCTCAATGTGACGTGGGAGTTGTTTGTCAAGAATTATAAATGATTA